CTCCTTTTATTACTTTCAGATGTTTAAATAGAACAGCACGCCGCTTTATAAATCTGCACATTTTTTGGCTCTCTCCAAAATAACAGAGTAGCTTCTTCCACCGACTTCAGCAGAAGGGGACCACGGATAAATATGGCCCTGACACTTTCAGCTGGCCAAGATATGAAAGTTTAATAGACAACACATGCATGGTAGCTGCTCTCCTGACTGTTTTATCGCCTGAAGAGTTCAATCCCATTAAAACCAAACAAGCCCCTTGAATCAATACGGGTTTGCCCTTTGACACAATGGGCCGACCGGAACGTATCGAGGAATTCAAATGCTACAGTTTTATCCCGCATGGGTTTGCCTTCCCCTTCCTCCACCCCGTATCTTCAACCCCCTGCAAAGCAGCAATGCAGCTAGCAGACGGAGTTAGCCGTGTCCTGCAGAGCAAATGGTTTGGGTCCCCCCACTCTTTTTTAAACTACCCCAAAGGAAGTGGACAGACATGACGGGATCCTCAAGGGTAAAACATTAAGGGTTCAAACGACAGGTCCCAGGTGACGTCAGGGTTGCAAGCGAGATTCACCAGCCTCCGACTACGGCACCTGTCTTCAGGACAGAGCAGGGGCCGCAGAGGTGGGACGCGGGGACTCGGGACAGGGCGGGGGCTCGGTTACTCCAGGGCGCTTCCATATTTCCAAGCAGCAGCAAGCAGCTGTTGATCAGCGCCTCCGAGTACAACAGACCCCGGGCTTCCCTCCCGGTGGGGCCCACTCGACCGACCAAACTCGTCACGCAGGCCCTTTCACATCCGTCCCTGCTATTTCATTTCATTCATTCATTCATTTTTAAGGACACTCATTTACTTATCGATCCCTTGTCTCCAAATCCCTGAAACAACATGTATCCTCGAGAAACAAGAAGTCATCGGCTTTCCCACACAAAGACAGGCTCTGCACAGATAAACCATCTTCCTCTATCTTTTTTTTTGCAGAGAAAACCAGCACGACTGCTAGCAAGCCAGAAAGGTCATTTTTAACTGCTGGCTAGTCCTGGAACCTGGTCAGCTTCCCTCCGCTTCGGTTTAAAAAGTTCAGTGTTATGAATATATATCTCAAAATGATATCTATATATAGATAGATATCTATATCCATCCATCCATCTATCTAGGATATAGATATATTGGATTGATAACTAAACTTTGCAGATTGTGAGGGCACCTGGCACATCCTGAGCTCGTTCTGAAAGCACAGGAAGACACGCACAGTCTCGTCTTACAGCCGGCAGCTTTTCCACACAGCAAGCCGGCCCCTTCAGTGCTGTAGTTTGGCTGGGGAAGAGCACGGCACCTCTGGAAAGCAGCCCGAGGGGCTGACATGCTGCATGCTTTAAACCCCGCGATGACACAGAGAAGTGCCCGGTGCACACGGGGCAGCCCAGCTGTGCCGGGAGCAAGCCGCCTCCAGAGACCCAAGGAGGTGAATGGCTTGGAAAGGCAGGGGACAGATGCTGGAAGCTCTTCTATAAGGACAAGGGCACTTTGTATCCCCTTCTATAAGGACCTCCATATGATATAAATTTGTATCCCCTTCTAGATCTTACAGAGGACCTTATAGAAAGGGATACAAACTTATAAGGATCTCTGTAAGATAGAAGGGGATACAAACCTATCCCTTACAGAGGTCCTTATAAGTTTGTATCCCCCTTCTATAAGGACCTCTGTAAGGTAAGTTTGTATCCCCCTTCTATAAGGTCTTCTGTAAGATATAGAAGGGGATACAAACTTACCTTACAGAGGTCCTTATAGAAGGGAGATACAAACCTATGCAAGAACCTCTGCCCGATAGAGAAGTGGATACAAACTTGTATCTTCTTAGAAGAGGAGATACAAACTTACAAAGGACCTCTCTCGGATATAACTTTGTATCCCCTTCTATAAGGACCTGTGTAAGATAAAGGAGGGGATACAAACGCCTGCCTTCCAGAGGTGCTTATGTACCTTTATATCCCCTTCTACAAAGCACCTCTGCAAGATTTAACTTTGTACCCCCTTCTATAAGGCACCTCTGCATGCATGTGGCAAGCGCGTATCCCCTTGTGTAAGGGACCTCTGTGAGATAAAGGAGAGGATTACAAACGCCTGCCTTCCAGCGGTCCTTATGTACATTTATGTCCCCTTCTATAAAGCACCTCTGCAAGATATAACTTTGTATCCCCTTCTACCCGTGGCACGTGCGTATCCCCCTGTCTAAGGGCCCTCGGCGAGAGAAAGGAGGGGGTACGAGCGTGTCTCTCTCTGCCCAGGACCTCCACGGGACACCGCGCTCGGCAGCCCGGTCTCTCCCGCACGCACCTGTACCAGGGCAGCCCCTTGTCGTAGCAGCGGTCGAAGAAGTGGGGCTCGGCGCCCAGGGCGCGCACGTCGGGGTGCACCCGCAGGAACTCCAGCAGCGCCCGCGTGCCGCCCTTCTTCACGCCGATGATGATGGCTTGCGG